ACCCCACCCCTTGGAGACCCCACCCCACCTCTCACCCGAGCAGAAGCTGCTGATGTTCTCCACCACGGGTTTCTTCAAGGAAGGGTGGGTGACCTTGCAGGAGAACCTGGCCCCCAGGTCCCAGCTCTTCCGGCTGACGTTGACCTTGCTGCTGAAGGTGGCCTTCTCCTCGGAGCACCTCTCGCAGGTGTTGACCTCCTGCCTGGTCTCCATCACTTGGTTGTTCTTCAGCCATTGGACCTGGGCCTTTCCGGCCCCGTGACCTTCCACCAAGCAGAGCAGAAGAACCTTCTCCTCCGAGGGGTTGTCCACGTGGGGGTCGCTCAGGAGGGTCACCGAGAGGTTGGTGGGGCAGATGTCTTCACCTGAGGTCAAGGAGGGAGAGGGGGAGGTGAGGATGGGGGTGATCAGGTGGTCAACGAGAAGATATTTGAAGGTCAAACTCATCCAGGTGGCCACCAAGGAGAAAATGAACCCTTGGAGAAGATCCAAACCCATCATGGTGTCCACCAAGAAGGTGTTGAAGGGTTGGAGGAGGTCCAAACTCATCCAGGTGGCCACCAAGAAGACCTTCAAGGCCTCCAACCCATCCAGGTGGCCACCAAGAAGACCTTCAAGGCCTCCAACCCATCCAGGTGGCCACCAAGAAGACCTTCAAGGCCTCCAACCCATCCAGGTGGCCACCAAGAAGACCTTCAAGGCCTCCAACCCATCCAGGTGGCCACCAAGAAGACCTTCAAGGCCTCCAACCCATCCAGGTGGCCACCAAGAAGACCTTCAAGGCCTCCAACCCATCCAGGTGGCCACCAAGAAGACCTTCAAGGCCTCCAACCCATCCAGGTGGCCACCAAGAAGACCTTCAAGGCCTCCAACCCATCCAGGTGGCCACCAAGAAGACCTTCAAGGCCTCCAACCCATCCAGGTGGCCACCAAGAAGACCTTCAAGGCCTCCAACCCATCCAGGTGGCCACCAAGAAGACCTTCAAGGCCTCCAACCCATCCAGGTGGCCACCAAGAAGACCTTCAAGGCCTCCAACCCATCCAGGTGGCCACCAAGAAGACCTTCAAGGCCTCCAACCCATCCAGGTGGCCACCAAGAAGACCTTCAAGGCCTCCAACCCATCCAGGTGGCCACCAAGAAGACCTTCAAGGCCTCCAACCCATCCAGGTGGCCACCAAGAAGATGTTGAAGGGTTGGAGAAGATCCAAACCCATCCAGGTGGTCACCAAGAAGACCTCCAAGACCTCCAAACCCATCAAGGTGGCCACCACGAAGATCATGGAGATGGCCACCACGAAGACCTCCAAGACCTCCAACCCATCCAGGTGGCCACCACGAAGACCTCCAAAGCCCCAAACTCATCAAGATGGCCACCACCAGGCCTTGGAGAAGATCCAAGCCCATCCAGGTGGCCACCAAGAAGATGTTGAAGGGTTGGAGGAGGTCCAACCCCATCCAGGTGGCCACCACCAAGCCTTGGAGAAGACCCAACTCATAGAGATGACCACCAAGAAGACCTCCAAGGCCTCCAACTCATCAAGATGTCCACCAAGAAGACCTTCAAGACCTCCAACCCACCATGGTGGCCACCAAGAAGACCTCCAAAGCCCCAAACTCATCAAGGTGGCCACCAAGAAGATCTCCAAGCCCTCCAACCCATCCAGATGTCCACCCAGAAGATCTCCAAGACCTCCAACCCATCATGGTGGCCATCACCAAGCCTTGGAGAAGACCCAAACCCATCAAGATGGCCACCACCAA